CAAAAGATGCATTCATCCATTGAAGACATCTCATTGAAGCATTGAAGACATCTCATTGAAACATTGAAGGAATTCTTCACATTTGGAGAACTTAGATTAGTTTACTTATTTTAATCCTCATTTGTATTTCATTTTGTAATGTAGGGTTTGTTTTTACCATTTTTGAAATGAACGCATAGCTCACCATAACTGAGCATGATGTTCCTCATTCGAAACTTGTTTTCCAAAAATGAAGCACTTGTTCGGAAGTAGAATTCCGAAAATTACCACTTAGTTTGACAATAGCATTCCGAATTTTTTTATTTGGTTCAACATTCAACTTCCAAATGTTTTTAATTGGGACGACATTCAACTTTCGAAAGTAATGTTTTTTTTGGGTTTTCAACTTCCGAACAAAATAGATATTTGCGGTTTTCAACTTCCGAATGGTATTTTTTTTTTCCTTTTTCGTATATTCTTTGTACAATTGTATATTCATTAAATATATTAATTTTTGCAGAGAATATGGATTCTGAACGTCAACAACATGTTCCACTTACTGCTTCAAATAGCAGACGTCGTGAATTGGATGTTGACCATGAACGGGGATGAGGGCGTGGGCGTGGGCGTGGGCGTGGGCGAGGACGAGGTCGGGGTCGAGGTCGGGGTCAGGGTCGAGATCGTGATCCAATTCCGATAGAATATGATATCCCTAGTGCTAGTCAAAGTCGTAACCAAAGCCGGGGATGAGTTAAAGGTGACACTACAACAAAAAACATCTTTGGCGACTCTTTTTAGCAACCAAACTGAAATTAGTCGCCAATTTTACATAATCGGCGACAATATAATTGTTTATCGCCAAAAGTACACTATTGGCGACGAGTTAATATTTTTAGTCGCCAAAAAGTTTGGCACCAACTTAATTTTTTGGGCGGGAGCGCCAAAAATATTTTCGCGACCAAATGAACATATAGCGACGAAATTTTGGTCGCCGATTGTAAAGTTTTGGCGACGGAAATGAAATAGTCGCGGAAAAGATGAACGGTACTTATGGCGACAGAAGAATTTTTGTCGCCAATAAATTAGCAAACGAAACTACGTCGTTTTGCATTTTTCAATTTTTTTTTCTTTTAAAGACTGGACCGACCCTTTTACTGAATAAACACACCCAAGCCTCATCTCATTGTGTTCAGAGGAAAACGAGAAGAGAGGCAGAAGATAGAGGATTCAAAAGGGAATGGAAGGGAAGGATAGGGTTTTAATCTCTCTCTCTGTGCACACTTCGACGGTACGGCGAAACTGATTCGGCAGCGGTGACAATCAACGGTACGCACTCATCTATTCTCTTCTCTTCTCATTCAACATCCAAATAGTAGACTTCAAGAGTCCAAATAGCATACCCAAACGATTGTCAAGCATGAGCTAGGTAGCGAATGGCGAGAACGGTAGAGGTGTTTGGCGTAGATGAGGCAGGGAGGGGTGTGGCCGTGGGTTTGTTAGGCGTGGATTTCACCCTCTCTCTCTTTCTCTCTGTGTGTGTGTGTGTGTGTCTCTGTCTTCCTCTCTATGTCTCCTTCGATTTGGGGCTAATTATTTTCTTCATTTTGCTCACTATTTGAAGAAAATTAAAGAAAATTAAAGAAAATCAGAGAAGAACTTGAATGTATTTGCAATCTGATGCTTGAATGGATAATGATGCTTGACCGAAGCATGAACTCTTAGATATTGCATCTCGTCTGTAGCATATAGTTAGTTATATTCAGTAATGGCAATGTAGAGATTTGGAACAATACAGGCCAAACCCGCTGGTTTTCCCCTTCTGTTCCAATCCAATACCAATTTAGGTTTAAATATTTCCCCAAAATGATGCATTGGCATGGGGTGGGATTGGATGAGATAATGAAATAAGTATTGTTCTGTACCTAATATGGAGACAAACATATATAATTAATATCAGGCAAATAAATGAGGATAAAATAAACTTGCACCTGGTTATGTAAGGCTCAAACATATCCCAAGGGCTGGAGCATGAAACAATTGACTCATTCTGTTGCCGTCTCTACTCATACAACCATTTTTTCTGTTACTCTCAAGATTTCTCAGGTAAGGACTGCTGTCTTTTTTAATTTTTTAATTTTTATTATTGAATTGCCCCCCAGTGCCAAAGTTGTGTGGTATAAACTGGATTACTATGTCTGAGTTGGAATATTAATTGAGAACATATAAGTTTGATAGTAATCCAGCAAAACAGAATATTTCATTCTAGGTAATTTGTGTTAACAACATGGTTTCTTTCACATGCTCTAACCTTTAAACTGTAATTTGCGTGAGCCTGTGGAAAGCCTTCGACCAGATATGTCTTCATTCCTAAATGGTTTAATTTTAGTCTGTACTGTGATTACATAATTATTCCTTTAATTTGATTCTCATTACCTGCTTTGTCTTCTCTGTTTTTTAATCTTTGGCAGTTTATATTTGATGCTGCTGCAAAGTTCTGTGTTGATATTGCAACTCATCAGCATGGATGTTGTGTTCTGAATCGATGCATTGATAAGTCAGTTGGGAAATATCAGGAAAAGTTGGTTGCAGCAATTGCTGCTTATGGGCTTCTTCTTGCTCAAGATGCTTTTGGGTAATTTTTTTTGAAAAGTTTGGATGATATCTTTGATTGAATATTTTTTATGTACTATGTATGCATGCTTATGGCTGTATTTTGATAGAATGATCCACATAGAAATATATCCAACAAATGAGTATTTTTGCTCACTAAAAAGTAATCATTTTCATGCTGTGATACGGTTTGTTTGCATTCTTGTTAGGAATTATTGATTTCTCTGTAATTCTATTATTTGTTACTCAAAATCTTGCTTTTGAATATCACTGCATTTAGTAATATGGTAACGGAAAAAATCCATGTAATTTCTGTATTTCTTGTCTTTTTTTATTGAAACAGGAATTATCATTAGTTTGCTCATGTTTTCTATTGCATGATTTTCATTTACACCAGCATGCTATTTACTAGTTTCATGCCTATTTACATGATCAGGACAAATGGCGGAATATGGGTATTAGTACTGCTGCACACAGTTCTAAAGAAAAAATACGAATTCCTAGAGTAAAAGCTATTACCGCTGGCCCACTCACCAATGGTCAAAATTCTGCTTCTGCTTCACTTATTGATGATGACAAGGATGGGAAAACTGCTCCACAGTGCGCTTTTCTTTTGGTTCTCTTTTGTGAATATAGAATTAATCTCATGGCGTTGCTCTGATTGGTGAGAGAAACTTTTATGTGCATAAATCTTATGTTTCTATTGATATGTTTATTCTGCGCCTCCACTCAGCTGCGGGGAAAATAACTAATATAAAAGGATAAATAAGAATTAGGCAACAGAAACAGGAAACACTGTTACTAGCGTTGTTCTATGTATTGAGTGGCTAAGCAAACTAGGATTTACAAACCTACGATAGAGGCTTTAGGCCCCATGAAATTGAAATCCTTTTTTGTCCAAAAGATGGCATCATAGTATTTGCTTTCAGTTTTATTTATCTTTTCTTTAGGCTTCATTGGTTTCAGAATTTGAATCTTAGTATATGAACCTTATCACCAATCACATTGCCATAAGACTTCCATTGGATTCAAATGTGACACTTGGGGATGTGAAACCCCTGAATGTAATAGTTAATGCAATAGTATGAGCAGTTTAGTTAAAATTAATAAACTCATTACAAAGTGGTGGCATTCCCAAACTCCTTGTAGTTACAATGATCTTTGAAGCACTTACAGCCATACAAGATTCAAAAGGAGCTGATATTAGTGCCATTCTCAACTTTATTGAGGTCAGATAGAAGTCTTTTGTTATCTTTATTCCCTTGGATAAAATTTACCTAGTTTAATCTTGAAGGACTTGTAGTAGCTGTTAGGTTATGACAAAACAATTTATGGAAAATAATTGCAGACAGCTCTTTATATTGCACAATGTTTACTAGAGTTTGTATGAGCAATTTCTTTGACTATGTGACTAATTAGAGTCATTTTCATTGCTTTCTGTTTTCATATTTTCTGGGTTGTGGATGTGAACTAGAATTTGAATTTTTGTACTGGATTCTCGGCTTTTTTGATCACTCCTTAATAATATATATATACTAATATACACATAACAAACAAGCAAATGCTATCTATATATAAAGCTTTTTTCTTCTCATTGTATAAATAAGTTGGCTAGCCTTTATAATTTGTTGAAATGACTAATTATTCACATCAAAAAATGTGAATAAGGAGGTTTCCTTGTTGACTTTCCTTGATTTCTCACAGGCTCTATGCCAATTGAGGCAGATAGCTCAGGAGGTTTCTCGATCTAATGTCACCAACTGGAGCAGAAGGCCTGCAGTTCTACGAGCACTTAGCCAGAGGTTGAGCAGGTTGATATATTACTGCTTTACCACCATCTATCGAATATGATAGTTTTCTCTGCTGTCCAGAGCTTGATAGATTTTTATTTTTATTTTTATTTTCTCTGGCAGGGGTTTCAATGAGGCTCTTAATGGATTTACTGATGAGGGGTGGTCTATGATGGAAAATGATGGCATGGATGATGTTAGCATCCTTGTTAACTCTTCACCTGACAAATTGATGGGCTTAAATCTGACCTTTTCTAATGGATTTCTAGCCGTCAGCAATGCAGTCTTGTGTGTAAAAGAGTCAATGCTTTTGCAGGTTAGCATACTGGAAGTGTTTCATTTATCTGAATAGTCCATGGGAAAACATTATTAAAAAAATTGTGGAGTACTTCATTCGTTGATTATGTTTCTCATGCATAGATTGTTAAATTATCCCAGGATGACAAATGCTGTCGACTTGTTATGCAGCTTTTGTTTTTGGTGTGTATGCTGGGGCTCAACTTGTATGAGGTTGATTCTGCCTCTTTGTCAATCAGCCAAACTGTGCATAGCTCAAACACAGCATGGATGTTTGTTTTCATTACTATGAGTCTGATTAGTTTATCAATCAGTTGATTTAGCTTCCATTCAGTTGTAAAACTGCCCATGCCCCCTTGATATACCAACCCAAAGAGAAAAGTTGGCAGGTAGTTTAAACTTTAAAGCCAACAAGGAATTGTGCAGAACAAATTCAGCACTGGTAGTGTATTTTGTACCAGAAACACTAGGCGCCGAAGTTCGAACCTCCTTGGCTTTGCCCAATGTACACTTGTGGGGGCATTGGCGTACATCCCACATTTTACCCTGTAGGGGTGGGTCCAAAGGGCCCTGCCTTGGAGGGATTCCTAGTCATTAAACAAAAATAATAATAATTTGTATTAGTAAAAATATAATAGTATATAGATGATACCTTCTGGAAAAAGAAATGAATAAGGGATTAAACTAATGAACTAGCTTGGTTAGACTTGATATCTAGCTTGGTTAAAGTTAAGTTCAACTGCTGGAAATAGGTTATCACTATTCCCATGTCTATATGATCAGGAGCCTCTAGATGGTTTGATACCATACAACCACTAGAGAGCCCAGAATTTTTTTCTTTTCAACATTCCACTTTATCCATCTCATCTTTGGCACGTGCTTTGTACATCTCGTAGTTTCAAACATACAGTGCAGGTACATCAGGATGTTTAAGTGACTAGTTTCTGTGTCTCTTCAGCATAGGAGTTTTGTTGCACTGCTTTATTCTTTGGTTTTCAGGAAATGATCAGACATATACAGAGTGGTATGCTGTAAGCAATGGTTAAATTGCTTGATCTGTTCCACAATAATGCCAATGATTGTTATTAGGTTTCCCTTGAGTGTGCAAAAATTTTGTCACGCTGCTATCACACATTTGTATAATATATACTAATATTATGTTTATTTTTATGTGGCTCCTTTTTTTTTTTTCCATATAACTTTCAGGATTTAATTAATGATGGAAGCATCTTAGTAAGTGAAGTAAATTTCACATTATTGTCATACTGTGGTCTATTAATGCATGCTTTCTCACACTCCTACTTATCCTTTGGATTCATCTTCTCATTTCAAGTTTAGGATTTCTTTTTCTTCTCTACATTGTCCTTTCTTTCAGAATGTGCCCCCTGCAATACTTCTTAGGTTCTTGCGGGAGCATAGGTCAGAATGGGCAGACAGCAGTATTGATGCTTATTCAGCTGCAGCTGTCAAAGTTGGTCCCTGTATCTTACCAAGGGCTCGAGCTAGAAGTTTTGGGGGCCAAGTAATTCTTCCACTAGCTCATACTATTGAGCACGAAGAGGTAAGTTATTTATTCTTGATTTATTGCTGAAATCACTATATAAGGTTGATCTTTTTTAATTCAAATTGACTTGTTGAATTGTAATGGTTTTCTTCAATTGTTGACATTGATTATACATCTCTATTTGTCTTTATTAGTTATTGGAGGTCATTAAGTTGGAAGGTGTTGGCCATTATCCTAAAGATGCAATAATGCCTAGAGACATGTTTCTCTTGCAAGTAAGTCTTGTTTCTTAACATTGTGTATTATATTTACTACATGAATAATAACGATCTCATTTAAAAAGTTGTTTTTATTGTTTCTTTTGAAGTTGTTTACAAATTGATAGGAAGCTTTGAAAAAGCGACATGAAGAGTCTTTAGAGCCTGGGGCAATACCTTTAACTCAGGAGCAGCTGTCAATCGAGATTCTTGGAAAGAAATCGGGATACTTAAAAGGCTTTGGAGTTGGTCCAAAACCATCATCATCCAGATCTTCTGTTACTGCACAAGCACATACTGAGGTGGTTTCAAGCCTACAAAAAGAACTAGAGTCATTGAAGAATTTGTCCAAGGTCCAGCAAGAACAGATTAGATTATTCATCAGAGGAATCTTATTGACAAACACTTTTGTAAGTATATTTCTCATAATTTACTTTTCAAATCACTACAAGCATTTCATTTAATATGTCTGGTTGTGTTGAACAAACGGGACTTTGATTGGATCTCCAGTTAGAAAATTAGAAGGAAAATTGTAAAACACAAGACTTAAAAGGCCCGTTAGGGGGCCAAAATTGCGAAATGACCACCGAAACCACCGAAACTTGGCACAGACAGCTTGTTCAAGCCTAAATAGACTTGTAGGATAAAACGGGACCTCTATTGGATCTCTGGTTAGAAAATTAGAAGGAAAATTGTAAAACACAAGACTTAAAAGGCCCGTTCGGGGGCTGAAATTGTGAAATGACCACCGAAACCACCGAAACTTGGCACAGACAGCTTGTTCAAGCCTAAATAGACTTGTAGGAACAAACGGGATCTCGATTGGATCTCCGGTTAGAAAATTAGAAGGAAAATTGTCAAATACAAGACTTAAAAGGCCCGTTCGAGGGCCGAAATTGCGAAAAGACCACTGAAACCACCGAAACCTGGCACGGACAGCTTGTTCAAGCCTAAATAGACTTGTAGGAACAAACGGGACCTCGATTGGATCTCCGGTTAGAAAATTAGAAGGAAAATTGTAAAACACAAGACTTAAAAGGCCCGTTCGGGGGTCGAAATTGCGAAATGACCACCGGAACCACCAAAACTTGGCATGGATGGATTTTTCAAGCCTAAATAGACTTGTAGGAACAAACAGGACCTCGATTGGATTTTCTGTTAAAAAATTAGAAGGAAAAATGTAAAACACAAGACTTAAAAGGCCCATTTGGGGGCCGAAATTTCGAAATGACTACCGAAACCACCGAAACTTGGCACAGACAGCTTGTTCAAGCCTAAGTAGATTTGTAGGAACAAACGGGACCTCAATTGGATCTCCGGTTGGAAAGTTAGAAGGAAAATTGTAGAACACAAGACTTAAAAGGCCCGTTCGGGGGCTGAAATTGCGAAATGACCACCGAAACCATCGAAACTTGGCACGGATAGCTTGTTCAAGCCTAAATAGACTTGTAGGAACAAACGGGACATCGATTAGATTTTTGGTTAAAAAAATAGAAGGAAAAATGTAAAACACAAGACTTAAAAGGCTCGTTCGGGGGCCGAAATTTCAAAATGACCACCGAAACCATCGAAACTTGGCACGGATAGCCTTTTCAGGCCTAAAGAGACTTGTAGGAACAAAAGAGACCTCTATTGGATCTTCGGTTAGAAAATTAGAAGGAAAATTTGTAATACACAAAACTTAAAAGGCTCGTTTAGGAGCCAAAATTGCGAAATGACAACCGAAACTACCAAAACTTGGCACGGACAGCTTGTTCAAACCTAAATAGACTTGCAGGAACAAACGGGACCTCGATTGGATTTCCGGTTAGAAAATTAGAAGAAAAAATGTAAAACACAAGACTTAAAAGGCTCGTTCGGGGGCCAAAATTGCAAAATGACCACTGAAACCACCGAAACTTGGCACGGGTAGCTTGTTCAAGCCTAAATAGAGTTGTATGAGCAAACGGGACCTCGATTGGATCTCCGGTTAGAAAATTAGAAGGAAAATTGTAAAACACAAGACTTAAAAGGCCCGTTCGGGAGCCGAAATTTTTTTTTTGTCAATCTAATATTGTTTTTTCTTTTTTCATGTGACAGATTGGCAATGGTGGAAAATAGTTTGGGTTGCATCAGAAGATTTAATTTTGTGTTTTTGGAAATATTTGGTGTTGTGTTTTTGCAAATATTTTGACATAGGATTTTAGTAAATGACTTGTTGGTTAGATGTTCAACATCAAAATATTTGGTTGTAATTTTGAAAATATTTTGACATAGGATTTGGTAATGTATTTATGGGTTTGATATTAGTAGTTTGTAAGTACTTTAGTATGCATGTTTTAGATTGTCAGAGAATTGTAATTATGTTTATTGGGATTTTTCATGGCTATAAATTTTGAATTAGTATGAATGTCTTGCACAGGTGTATGATTATTTACATTACATTTGTGTAAATATGTGCACAGGAAAATAGGTGTTTTGGATTATTTTGAACAGGAAAATTATTAAAATCAAAATTTGTGTAGTGAATTTTTAGTAACAGGTGGTGTTTTTGTCGCTGTTAATATATTTGGCGACAACATATTGTTTTTGTCGCTAAAAGTTAGTGGTTATTCCAGGAACATTTAGCAACCAAAACTTACTCGTCGCTAAAAACGTGATTTTTAGCAACCAAATTAATTTTGTCGTTAAATAGTACTTTTGGCGACGCATTTAATTGTCGCTAAAAGTACATAGCCGATCCAAATTTTAACCTTTTAGCAACAAATTGTAATTTTATAGCGACAAAATATATGATTTTTGGCGACCAATTTTGCTTGTCGCTAAATGTCTACATACGGTGACAATTTCTGATCTCGTCGCCATTACTTTTAGTGACAAGGCTTTGGCGACAAGTTGTATATTTTATCGCCGATTCTTTTGGCGACGAAATTTGTGGGTCGTCAAATGTGTTTTTTGTTGTAGTGTGATGATATGCCTGAAATTGCCATGGAGGATGCCTATTTACTCGATTCTCCTACTATTCAGGAAGAGAACTTTACTCATGTTTTTCTAGATGGACCAATTGATCCATCAATACTGTGGAGTTTCAATAGTCATGTCGCTACAGCTGTTTGGAAGGGGGAGGTAAACATTCCTGAGTAAAAGTTAAATTCATTTGTATATGATTTTTTATGGTGTTATATGGTAGTTTCTAATGAGATACTAATTTTTTTTTATAGGAACGAGGGCCCCTGAAGTGTCATAATCACTCTTCGAAGATCCTTGCATGGGCATGGTGGTCAGTAGACAACAATACCAGACTCAAAGCCATTATTGAGCTGTCTGGGCTGTTACAGTTAGCTCGTTGCAATTATCGATTCGTCAACAAGCTTCTAATTTCCAATTTTGTTGAGAGATGGCAACCTAAGACAAACACATTTCATATGATAGTTGGTGAGATGACCTTGACCTTGGATGATGTTGGCACTATTCTTAGCCTTTCCATTGTAGGCATATTAGTCAGCGTACCAGATGTGACGGATCTTCATGGAGTTACACTACTGGTTTTTGGCTTAGGGATTACTGAACATGTAGCACATGACGAGGTTTCTACTACAGGTAGGAATCAGTCAGGCTTGAGTGGTTGCGAAGTCAGTTTGCTGGTGTCATAGATTCAGACCTAGAGGAGGCCATAGAGTGCGCTGCTAGAGTTTATTTGTTTTTTTTTGTTCGGATGTACACTCTTCAGTGACAAAACTGGTATCAGGGTTCCTGCTGTTTACCTTGTCTTATTGATGGATTTGGGATCCATTCATACTTACGCCCGGGATGCTGTTGCATTAACATTTTTATACAGACAGTTGGGATATGCTAGCTGGTCCGGTGTTAAGCAGATCGGTGGTTGTATGACTCTTTTGGAGGCATGGATTTACAGTACGCCAACAACATAATAAATGTCTAGCACTCGGGAATATCTTCTGTATGGCATTCATCAAGGCTAGCTCTTCGTCAGTGACAATAATCGCCGGCAAAACAAAACCATCCATGACATCATGCAATGTAGCTAACACCCACGCATAGTTATCGACCCTCTCGGACTGTAAGTGTAACGCCCCAGATAAAATATACATGAATAGTAAATTGATCTCTACTCGTTGTGATAACAGAAGTACTTCTTCAACATTTGAATACATGTTCATAAGGCGTTTACAAAATAGTTCCACATGCGGATACATATTCAATGACATCGATACATGAATCTATAGCATGTAAAAAGTCTAGTAAAAAATAAATAAATGCCCTCAAGGGCTACAAATGCCTAGGTTTAAACCTGGTTACAGAAAAATGGTTACTCGAACTCATACAGATATAGCCCTTGGCTTACAAAATATAATCATAATAAAACAAGAGCCTTGTGCTCTCAACATGCACATTCACACCCTTAGTTCGGCAGAATCACCACATCTTTACCTGTACCAAAATCCCGTAGGGTAAGCATAAAGCCCAGTAGGAAATTCTTAACAAAGTATATGCATTTTATACAAGCCTCATGAAATGAAATGTACAAGCCACGTGTACACACCCCATTTTTTGCGGCCCTTACGACTTGAGCGTCATCGCATACACACCCGATGATGAGTCTACATGCTTGCTAAATGCTCGAAGTCCTCAGCGAAATGCCACAACTTTGAGCCTTTCAAACCCTCCCCCATGTTTCCTTATTTTTGGACCAACCCTTGGTTCTTCAAGCCTGCAGCTTCTAGTGGCCTGCTAGCCACCTCTTTAGGCTGGCAGGCCATCACTTTTGGTTGCCAGCCACTGATGTGGCCTGCTGGCCACCAATGTCTTGTACAGATATTTTGTGACAACCATGCTAGTTTTTTGCACAGATGTTTGCATCTGCTCCCACGTGTAAGGCTAGATGTTCTTAAGGAGAATTCATGTTTTCTATATATAGAGGGGCCCCCTCTTATGTTTCAAGGCTCGAAAAATTTTGGAGCAAAATTTTTCCTCTCTCTCTACAATTCTCTCTCTCTCTCTCTCTCTCTCTCTCTCTCTCTCTTCTAAATTTCTACACTTTTGCCTACATATCCTTAACCTTTGCCTATACACCCTTAACCAAACCCTATCATCTTTGAGCTGAGGTACTTTTGAGCTTGGTTTGAGCTCTTGAAGGGTGTGTCGTCTTGATTTGTTGCCTAGAATTGGTGTTCTCTTCAAGAGGTATAAGGCTTTGCTTGTTGCTTTGTTTTATTTGCTATTATCCTTGCTATTTGCCAACTGTTTTTGGGTTGTAAAAACTCTGTATTTTTGGGCTGAAGCTTGGGTTTAAAGGCCAATAAAGGTT